GAAGCTTCAGACTTGACAGGAATTTCTTGAATAAAGTTCTCTTCACATTGTTGGTTTTAGCCGCATCCTGGGTTTTTTTGATTCTGTGGGGAACGTGAAAATTACTTAAGCAAAAACCCCAAACATTTCAGCTTCATTCTTCTTTCTAAACACGGAAAACTATTGATAATAAGGCTGAGTCCTTGCTGAAAATATTTCTGACTCAGTTATGGGAAGCGCTGAGTACTCCGGCCTCTCCCAAAGAGTTCTGTATCCAGCTCTGGACTTGTGCCAGCAACTGGAGAATATCTTCAACTGTTTGTAGGTATGCATTTCCTTTGTGATACCATTGGCATATTTCCCCTAAAATAGCAAGCCGTAATTAACACTTGTTCACACCAGCAGGAATGCAGATGTTTCCCTACTCAAGTGGCTTATTAAACTGTCCACTTCGACACATTTTTAACACACTGTAGAACGCAGGGAGAGTGACAGGACACCATTGGCTTCCTTGGCGGAGTGGCCTTACAGTCAATCGTAATTGCTTGTTTTCAGCAATGAGCAATGAAAAACAAATCAATTTGTTGTGTGTTTATCTATCTTGAAAGGCAAAAATCAACCTGTTCAGTTTGCAGTGGAATGCAGCATGCTGCTGTTCTGTCCTTGTGACCTTGTGTTGCTTTAATACAGTTCATTAGGGAATGGAGAACAACCCAACTGTCCTGAAAGTAAAGCAAACGTCCAAGATACAGTTTTACATTTAGAAGCTGATTTAGTTTGACCTTTAATCATAAGGTTTTAAGTGGATGACATATTTAAAACTCTTATTATGAAATGAGTAACTTCATGGGACACTGAACTTTGCCCAGGAACTGAATCCCAGTTTTAACCACAGCGTTGTGTAATGGTTGCACACACCTTTTAGTAGGTAGGGTTTTCTCACTGGCATTGATTTTACCGAAGGCAGTAAATAAGCTATTCTGCTGACAGATCCACCCTGTATTTTACAAAGAAAAGGTAGTGTTGCATACCCATGCTAAGGTTCCTGTGGACATGGTGTCGCAGTTGCAATTAACTGTGCCAATGCTTTTCCCTGCCAACATCCTAATGCCTATAAAACATTGCTTCATAAACATTTTTTAAAAGTCTCTTGAGCATTTATATATTTGGAGGGAACAAAACCATGTAGACAGTATGTCCAGTTTTTCTCTTTCATTTTCTGCTAATATTTCGTCCTTTTAGAATATCTCTCAAAAATGAATCTTGGTTCCTTGTTTTTTCCCAGGCCTGGAGTTTATCTCTTGAGGGTTATTTTTTTTAACAACCCCAAATACTCACAATGTTTGAGTTCTTTAACGCTTTCTCTGGTTGACTTTTAAAAACCACTCATCACCTGCTGCCATTCATTTAATGCATTGAAGTTTCCTAACACAAGGAGGATTTTAACTTGGTCAGGCTGTGCATTGCCCTTTTTCTACATCAGGGCTGTGTTAGTGTGATCTTCCTGGAGCAAAGTGCTGCTTTCCAAGCATCTGTTTTACAAGGCAATTTCCACTGATTTTTTTCCCTCCAGAGGTCTGATTGTATTCCTGTCAATGAATGTGGGCAGCTCACAAATGTTACCTTTTGGTTCACTCTATGGGGAAACTTTCAGAAGGTGGAGAAGGTGTCCTCTACGAAATAAAACATTAACACTTGAACACGTTTCTTTTCACGTACAAATGTTGAAGCTTTATGGTGTTATTTAAGCTGTAGCAAGATACAAGGTTTCATACAATCAGCAAATCATCCTTCATGCTTCAGGGAAGGTTTCCCAGACCGTTTTTTGTACCTGGTAGCGTTAGGGCTTGTGCCCAGAATTCTAACTGTGCCCCTGCCTGGTTTGAACATGTTCAATCTCAAGCCCTGCTTGTGCTGTTCAGATTTGTGTTACGTTAGCATAACTTTCCCCACGTGCTCTATACAAGGACCTTTCCCTCTTTAGGGTGATATCAGCACTTCCAAGAGTGTAAAGCCTTTGCAAGAATTTGCTTCTCGCTTTGGTTGGTGATGCCATGCTGTCTGTCGTTGGTTGTGTTGACTCTTGTTGCTTTACACAGCTTCAGCTATAGTTTAAACAGGATCTTGGGTGTGTATTATGTAACTACAGCATTTTTAAATGGCAAATAATGTAATTCGAATGGGTATTTTTTGTTGTTGTTTTAAATACAAGTGGGGCAAGAATGGATAATAGGGCCGTACTTGTCAAATACTGTGGATTGTTTTCAACCTAATGTTTAAATCCCATTTATTGTGGAATATTGTCTCAAACCAAAATGTTATTTAGCATTACTTGTTTATTTTAGCTCTTTTATTAGGAGTTCCATTATTAGCCCAAAAGAAACGTATGTTGATGTTGCTGTAGAGTCTGTATTAGAACGTGCCAGCAAATGAATCAGTGCTGAGGAAACAAGAAGCAGACATGTAAGGACTAGTTTTCTGGTTATTTCTTTTCAGGAAATTTGCCTGCAATTTTTGGTTAATTTGTTTCCTAACTCATTATTTTTAGAGAACTCATACAAATTAGACCTCCTTAACTCAAAAAAAGAAACCCAAAACCTTGTTACTCACTTGATTTTTCTGGTCGCCTCTGAAGCCCTTTTTCCACCTAAATACTTAACAAATCTTGTGGTTTTGCTCATCTTCCCTGAGAGCACCCCTAGGCAACATTCCATGACTCAGATGGGATGTTGAGGGTTTCTTATGTTATTCTTTTTCTTAAATATTATTTCAGAATTGTGGTTAGTGTAGGTGTGCTTTTCTTTTTGAGGGAGAGTGAAGGAGGGGGGCAGGGAATCTGCTTTGGGCCTTTTTTGTTTGGTTGGGTTTTTTGTTTTGTTTTTGTGACTAGCTAGTGCGTCCTGATTCCAAAATCACTCATTCTAGTATAAAAGTATAAAGCAAGAACTTTTATATAACAAGTTGAACTCTGTATGTCTGATTCCAGCTTCTCATTGGTGAGTTTTCTCGTCAGCAGCGGTCCCTAATTATGTGAAGATATTTTTAGTGAGGCCTAAAGACAGAAGGTTGCTTAACAAGGCATCTCTTACTTGGCTGTCACAAGCCATGTACTTCAGTTAGAAATAAAATAATAATAATATTGCTTCTTGGTATAATGTGTTGCCTGTTACTTTCTGTAGATCTCTGTTTTGAAATGCAAATGTGAAGTTCAAAGAATGTGGACTTGAATTCTTTTCCCAGCCCGCATGAACGCTTAACAGAGGACTGCCATATTCAGAGGACTGTCTGAGTGCCGCTGGTTGTGGCTCGGATTCGCGGGGCAGACATGAGGGCAGTACTGAGGATTTTATTACTGATGTGGCCTAACAGGGCAGAAACACTGATTATTGTAATCCACATTCTTGTGGGAAGTTCAAAACTGTCCTTACAGCACAAGGAGGACCTTGTGGAACTGTATAACAGTTCTGTTAAACTAAATCCCAGACTTTTTATTATCAACGTGTTTATGGTAGGACCAGGAACTGGATTTACTTTTCATCCCGCTTAAGAGTCTGATTGCAGAAACTACTCCAAATATTTTTTTCCATGAGTTATGACAGAGTTGATAAGCTGTTTGGAATCATTGCTTTATTCTAGTTCTCTTCCGGAATATCGTAGCTGTAGTGAAAACCAGAAGCAAATAAGGACTTGTGAGCCTCATTTTTGTGGCAGTTCAAGGTTGTCAGATGTTCCAGCTCTCCAGTAAAAGATCTGAACGTTTTTGTGTTGCGTTTGTGCCTGTTTTGTGATGTCAACCTCAGCAGTAATGCTCAGAGTGGCTGCTGGTCTTGGCCATTGGTAAAGGGTGTGTAAGAGCGAGCCTGGAATACAGATGATTCTGGGCTCAAATTGGCTTTGGTTTAAATATGTGAGATTCCAAACAATTCCCTCTCCCTCACTTTCTCTTCCTACTGATTTTTGCTTAGGAAAGGTATTTCCCTCATTATACTGTGATACAGCCAAAGATTGAAGGCCTCCCAAACTACCAAAAACTAGGAAACTTTCAAAAGCTTCCAATAAATGTAATTTTAGAAGTGGGAGAACTGGGGATAGGAATTAATATTTCAATTTCCCTTTTAATTCCTTTAACAGCACATATTTTTACAGTCTCTTGATACTTGCAATCAAGTAAAAATTTGTGCACATATGAAAGAAATTCAGCTGATCTTTTGTTCTTGAGCAGTTCATAAAAGCATGGAGCAGACCAAAAAGATTCACTTAATTCCGTATATGGACTTTCTCCTGTCTTTTAAAGAAACTGAAGAAAAGATTACTATGGAGATTATTGTTTAATAATAATGTGCACTTACTATTATTTGTGTGCATTCAGTAGCAATGAAAGTACGACCCAATTTATAGTTTGTTTATAATTTTTAAGCGTATAATTTGTATTTTAATAGCACTAACCTTACAGCTTTGTATCAATGAGTTTTTTCTGTAGCTTTTTTCTGCAGTTGTGCTGCAAGGGAGCAAATCTGATAGAAGCAGTGCCACTCAAATGTCTGTGTGGTCCCCAGAGAGCCCCACTAAGGTGGAAAACACAGAATAGTGTAAAACCTAACGATCGTTTTCTGCATTTGTGTTGGAATTACTGAGACACAGTGTTTCACTGCAGAAGAAAGCAGTGCTGACAGCCAAAGAAACACAATATCCAGTGGAGCCAGGAGCTGAAGAGCAACTGTTACCAAATGATAGGGGTTACTAAAAATGCCAATAGAGTTGTCATTAATAAAAAGCTGACCCTTCTTCCAAGGCTTCAAAATACAGTTGGACTTAGTGAGAATGATTGATAGGCAGTTCTTCTAAATCTGAGGAGCTAAGAAAGCCAGTGGAACTTGCAGTCGTCTACAAGGCGTTTAATGCATTTTTATGTGTGTTAGAATGCTACCAGTTCCCATTTTTAAGTGGTAAAGATACGTTATCATTGCTGATTCTCCTCACGTATAACCTTTTTTTTCCTGATAATGTTTTTTCTCCTTCAGGAGTTTTATGAACACACAAAAACACTTTGGCAAGACGACGGTGTGAAAGCCTGCTATGAGAGATCTAATGAATATCAGCTGATTGATTGTGCACAGTAGTAAGTATTGCTCTGTTCTGCTATATATGGACTGTGAGATACAGTTGGTTTTAAAGTCCCTTGGATTATCCTGATGCTTACTGTTCTACTTTGGAAAATAAGGATTGGGTGTCGTGGAGTAAATTCCTGCTAATTAGCCATTCAGAGAGTTATTTCCATTTCCAGAGATCTGTCTAGCTGGTGTTCACTTCAACAGTAATGTCTACGTTGACAACCTTGCCAGTACCTTGACATAGGCTGACACCAGATTTCCCATTTACACCACGTGACAGTCAACTTTAGATCCTACAGCAAATTTTAATGACTTGGGAAGTACAATGTACAAAAGCTTTTGCTTTTGATGCAGTTTCTTTATCTGAAAACAAAAATGGCAGCAACATTCATAGGCAACAGCCTGTGATCGGTCACCAAGACTTCTGCTTGTGTACCTTGGAGCACATATCTGAGAATGATCCATTCCTTTCTGTTGATTCCACCACTGTGGTAATTAATATTGTCCTGAGAGAGACTGCTACAAGTTTGCCATTATTTACTACATACAGCAGTACAGTATGGTTCAGATTTGTTTTTTAATAGCAGTATGTTTGTGATAATTGTGACAATTCCTGATATTTTCATGATGCAACTCAAGAACTGCAGGAGTTAAATTTAGAAAATTAATTGTTAAGACTGCTCTTTATTAGCTTACACTCTGTTTCTTTTGGAGATATGGAAATAAGTTGTAATGGTCAAGGAAATAGAAGCTTCCTCATTTCTCATGATGAAGGAGGACTGTGGTTTGTCTGCTACTGACTCTCATAAGGAACATTTAGTGAAATAAAATTTGTAAGGTTCATTTTTTGTTTCGGTAGGTAGCCTTAGAGGTGAATCAACAATTAGCTCTGTTTGAAGATACCAGGAAGATAATTTTTCTATGACTTGCTCAGCTCCAGGTCTTTCAAAGGCCCTTTGAAGTTTTGCCATTGTTTCTAGTGTGAATTTGTTTGATGTGTAGCAATGTCTTTTCCAGTAGGTGACTAATGTTTGATCATTTGGCATGGATCTCCTTGCAAGCTCATTTGCTACTAAATGAAAAAATATTACAAGATCTTTGTTTTCTGTCAACTATCCACTAAGTTTTGTCTTTATAGTGTAAAGCTGTCAGAAAAAGGAAACAGATTGCTTTGTTTCTGTCAGTGTTTGGTTATCTCTTAGTGTTTCTGGCTAGTGTTTTTTTCACAGTCATCTTCTGGCACTGGAAGAGAAGTATTGCTAAGCACCAAGGTTTTGTTGTGTTGCTCTATTTTTAGAAGATCAAATTTTGGTCTTTTCTGAATGTACTGAAGAAAGCTGGAATTGCTGCCATTTTTGATTGCTGGACACTGACTTTTTCATGGGTCAGCGAGGGGAATGGCCTTTGGGATGGTTTTACCATCCTGCTCCATCTAGTGGAACATTGGATGTTACATCGTGGGTCCATAGAACCAAAATTAAATGTTGTACATTGCTGACGATACTTTTTTTTTTTTTTTCCCCCTAAGATACCATTGCTGTCATCTTCTAAATAACTGTCATGATTATCGATTTATTCAGTTTGGTTGTAAACTGTATGGCATTGCTTCCTTGGAAGGAAGCAGAAGGACCTTCCTTTTTGTTTCTGTTGGTAGGTCGTGCCCATTCTGGCACTTCTGGTCTCGCACTGGTGGTGTCTTGTGTTGCATGTTCTGTTATGAACAGTGTTGTAATGTTTGCTAAATGTTTGCTCGGAGGTGAAATGCTTTAAAATTCTGTGCTTGTTTTTATCACATTAAATTTTCAAGAGACCTGGCAAAAATTGCTTCCAGTAAAATCCGGTGTGATTGATACTGGGAAATGAACCCAGGGAGCACACTGTAAAAAAACGCAGCAGAGGCAAAATATGAAATGTTGCTGAGATTTATCGAAGGCAGGCTTTTAATTTGAGTGTGCAAACTGCTGTCATTAGAGCTAATAGGAGGTAAGAGAGAAAGTGGGGGGTTGGAGTTTGTCACCTCCTTTGGAGTCCTTTGTCCTCAGGTTTTCTTCTTACCAAGGTGCCTGTTTAAAACAAGCAAAGCATGGAAAACCAAAAAATGTCTTTTCTCTTTCAAAATCAGTCAGCTTCCAAAAATTCCTTTCTTGCTCTTAAAGGTTGATTAAATCATTAAATGTTAAAGGATTCTTAGTCTGGAGAACCGTTTTAAAATTCTAAACAGTGTTTCTTTTTATTGCTCTTTGTAATTTTATCTATTTATTTCTTTTATTTAATATTGAAGTGTGATTTCTTAGTGCAAAGCCTGTCTTGTTGTGGAGTCATTTAACACAGGGAACAAGTTGATTAAGTCAGGAATTCTCTTAGATGAAAGCAGGGGAAAAAAGTCACTTCTGGCTGCTTGTCCTTCAGCAGAGAAGTGGAAATGAAGATAATTCCCAACATAATGTGTTCTATCTCCGTAACACTGATGTAATTATGAAGAGTTTAGCAGTGGCATTTTTTACCTGCTCCTCAGCAGTAACTACAGCTCTTCACGATGCCTTACTACAGCTTTTCAGTGTTTCCCCACAAGAAGTCAGCGGTAGCATTGTCTGCACCTTCTGTTGCTCCCTCAAGGTCCTGCCTGAAGTGGCTCACACTGAAAGCTGTAGGACAGCCACAGATAGCGGCCCGGCTGCTTGAGTGCAGCTGTGATCATCATGGGTGTAAAGCTGGGAGACCTGAGCAGCAGCCCCATCTGTTGGAGAGCCCTTTTGGTTTCCCACCCTTTATTCTCAAGTTTACTGGCTTAGTGAAAACGTCACTCCTGAGGAACTTGATTCGTTTTGAAGAAGAGCTGCCTCTGCTCGTCATGAGCTTTACTGTACTTCCTGCCTGGGCACACTGTATGGTCCCGAGAGAAAGGAAAGGAGGCTGTTTCCCTTTTCTTAGCTCAACTTACTAAGTAATTAGTTTCAATTCTGCTTCTAGAGCAGTGTGCTCTTGGAGGTTTCTCTCTGTGGGGAATATATATATTAACTGTGAGAGGAAGCAGCATCTAAGAGGAGACCAGATTTCGTTGCTCTTGCATGTTTTGGGGATGTGTATAGAAGAGAACAAATGTTTTTACTGAAGCTGCCATGTGATACTCCTCCTGACTAATAATAAACAGAAGAACACAGAAGTGTCTAGAATGCAGAAAACTCCAAATGGTAATAAGTGATGAACCGTCCTTCATGTTTCTTTTCTGCAGGAGCAGGATTTCAATGTTATTCGGAGTATATTACTTAATATTAAGAATCTAAGAGTCATTTCCACTGTGCCAAAACCTGCATGTCAGATCTATGCCTTCTGTCAAGTATAAACAAACATGAGCATTTTGAAGTGCTGTCCTTGCTATATTTCAACCTCTGTTTTCATTTGAGGATCTTTGTTCTTAAGGCCTCACAAATACTCCACAGTTGGAATAAGCAGGATCTCTCCCATACCAATGGGCTGTTGGTGGTATGGGGGCTTGAAGGATGCCAGCACAGTCCTGTGCTGCCTGGTGCAGCATCTGTGGATGTCCAGAAGACTGCTTTGATGTCAGTAGCCTTTTGATTAGCACTGTTTGCAGCGAATTGCAAGCAAAGCTCGGATATGTAAAGCCTCCAAGGGCTCCTTTCTAGTCTTCCTGCTATTAGGCTGTACCCACAAATACTTGATTTTTTGCTTTATCTAGCCTTGGCTTGGCATGGTTCATTGGCCCCCAGTTCGATTTCTCACTTCATTTTACACTGCTTTCACTTCGTTTCTCCCAGCTGACGCTTCCTGGTTTTGGCCAGAGTGGAAAAGGAAATAATGTGAGAGACAGCATTTGCAACCCGTTTCACACCCTGCACTATCAGGAAGGGCTGGAAGTAGCAGTTGGGAGCCTATTCTCACGCTATTTCCTGCTGGAAAGCCTCGCTGTGCTTTCTCCTGCCGTCTGCCATTTCATGGACAGAGGAAACGTGGGCAGGCTGCTGGTAGAAGTGCAGGGAGTTGTATTTCTTGAACTTCAGCACCAGCAGAGCCACTCTGATAGCTTGAAACTGTGCCAGGCTGCTCCAGAAGAGCTTTATGAGAAGTATTTTTTAAGATGTTTGTTTTTAAAATACTTATCAAAGAAAGGGGGCGAGTGCAGCTATTAGCTGACTGCTGTGCAGCGCTCCTGAAGGATCAGCAGATGTGGACGTCCTGTTTTCTTAATATCTGATTTGATAGGGGTTGTAAATTTTTTATGTTTTTATTAAGATTTATGGTGTGTTTTGCTTCAGGATTTGCTGACTTGTAAGAGCAATTAAGAGTCCCGATCTGAGTACTTAATGATTTTCTTCCACGTTGGTTTCACTTCACAACAAAGTTCCTTTCAGAGAACGTGCAGTAAAATGTGTTTGCTGAAAGTCTCACCTTTTTAAATAGTGGCTGATTTATCTGTGGTACTGTTAGTCTGGGTTCTTATTCCTATTTATTACTTTTTGCTTTCTTTCCACTCAATGCTTTTTGTCAGAGCCATTCCCCTCATCTCCAGCTCCGAGGGCTGTGTCTGAGTACTCCTGTTCAACAGGACAGTGATTTCCCTGGCACGTATGAGCTTCCCATGGACACTAGCAGTTACACTTTTAAAGATTTTTTTTCATGAAGAATAATATCCACGTCCCCTTTCACTGGTCTAAAGCTGATGAGCTTGTCTCCCACTACGTGAATTCTTTTGCGAGCCAACGAATAGACCCTAATTCCTCATTCTTGCTCTTACTTGTAAAACCCACTGTTCCAGAGCACTGACTCCATTGAAGCAGGGTCCCTGTTCTAAACAAAGTTAAATTCAGGTAGAAGAAAATACAGCCCGGGCTATACTTTTTCCACAGTCCACTGGGATATTTGGTGCAGAAAGAGATTGCTGAGTATGATGGGAAGCACAGTAACTCCTGAGTTTGTATGGCTTTAGCAAAGTCAGTACCAAGAAAAGGAGTCTGAATATTTAAGTTGATTTATACCTAACTACTCC